GTTGAATTTAAACAAACTAAATCTATTCTTCTTTTCCAAAATTTTCTAGAATCGTTCCTTGATTGCTGATTTGTTTGAACCAAATCAGAAATAAGTATCATTGTGAGAATTTACTTTCACGTCATGGCAATATCGCTTAATGGATAATAACATAAAAATATAATGATCTTCACTTCTTGGTTATCGCGTAAAGGAATGTATACCCACCATCTGTGTACACTACAGACTCGCTAGTTTTGCCCCTCCTAAGTCTCAATTTGCAAACGCTGAAAAATATCAAAAAGACGATCTTCACAGATGAAGGGAGAGCAATTGTTTACAGAAATTTGAGGAAAATGCACATGAACCACATAAAGTAAAGTCTAGTTAAATATCAATGCAATCGTAATATCAATATTTAAACACATATGTTACATCCATCAGTAGCGCCGACTACAGCAGCCCCACCACCTCCAGGTGGTAAGTATTATCTTCGCTTTCTTAATTGTATTAACCAGGACTCCTATTATCAAACAACACTGTCCGGCAGGAACCACAATATAAACGTGATTGCTAATTAAATGTAGATATAAGAAATGTAATGGACAGGTCGTTCAAATTTTACAAAACATAAATGCTGAAGGTGACCGATTATGGAGGCGTGACATCAAAATTTTCAATATTTGCAATTAATTTTTTTTTCTTTTTTCGCTTTTATTGTTTTTTGTATTTATCTAATATGACAGTTTTTGTAATCGTAGATTTTGTTCTAGATGTCTATACTGAATTGGCATTATTACCTCTGAAAATCCCCCTTGGGAAGTTGTAATAAAATATGTATGTAACAAACAAACATTCTCAGCTCAAAATTCGTTTTGTTTTGTTCTCGCTTTTTAAAAACAATGCAACTCGGCCGCACTGATAAGGTCTTGTTCTGTTGCAACGCTCATCATTTCACTTCCTCTACAGCATCTGGTTGTGACTTTGACAATGATCGGTTGTGCTCGGGCTGGACACAAGATAAGTCAGACAAGTTCGACTGGACATTGAGATCTGGAGCAACCCCATCTTCCAACACTGGTCCCTCATCAGGCCACGGAGGTTCAGGTAAATGAAGACTAGCATTCTATTTCTTTGGGGCAGATAGCGCAGTGGTGAGAGCACTGGCCTCCCACCAATGTGGCCCGGGTTCGATTCCGGCCGGGTGCCAGAAGTAGATTTAGTTGGTTGTTGGTTCTCGCCTTACTCCGACGGTTTTCTCCGCGTACTCCGGTTTTCCTCCCTACACATGAACGTCATAAACCAAAATCTCTAAATTCCAATTCGATCAGGATATAGGAACCGCATGAAAACCAGCTAAGGCTGATGTGGCTTCCTCTCAAAGTGTTGTAGATTAATTAACTAGTTAAAGTCGATTAAAGTTAGTGTGACATAAGATGGGCTTGACCTGACTAAGAGTACTTTTAGTCATTTCATCACGGCAACAGAAACCCGGAAGGGAAGCACTGACGTCAATTTGTGTCCGATTCCTTCGACCTCCTTCGGTATAACTGACTAAATACCCTTAAGCTTTATCGTTAACATCCCTACTCTACAATCATATCGATCACTGGGCACTGTTTATCCAAACTTCCTTTAATGCGTTTGATACCATGAAATAGAAGGTTTGGCTGCTTCAAAGCAACCCAACCGAGAAAAAAACAACTAAATACTACTTTTTGGAAACCGAGGTGAAACCGTAACCGAAATCGAGGTGAAACCTTTAAAGACACAGCTTCAGTTTAAATATATACGTAATCGAAGATTTAGCCAATTCAGGCACATTGAAAGGGTATATACAAATTCTGTTGTTCTCGTTACTGCTACTGTTGTTATAATTGTTGTTGTTCTTCTACCCGTGTTGTTGTTGTTGCTGTTGCTGTTATCAGTTTTGATGTATTGACTTTACTTGAATCGAGTTCAGCCTCTTTTTCCATTTCACCATTCTGATTTTCTTAGTCTTGTCTCATTCATCATTACGTGTTGAAACTTGTTCTTCTTGTTGAAATTATGGATTAATTTTAGGATTTTATGCGTACATCGAGACCTCGTCTCCAAGGAAATCTGGGGACAACGCCAAGCTTCTTTTCAAGACTTCCACAACCGGGCTGTTCTGCCTGAAGTTCTTTTATTACATGTTTGGGAATTCAGTGGGAACTCTTAACGTCTTCAATGGAAATAAAAATATATTTACCAAGTCAGGTAACCAAGGAGATAAATGGGAAGAAGCCTAAAGTTCTTTCACTTCAAGTGGGGAGGTAAATACACTTGGACGACGTTTTTTAAGTATTAGATGACCAGCGGTTTTGTAGATGATATCTAAATGGGAAATGCCTCAGGCGGACTAACATTTACACAACCGAGAAGTAAAGTTTACTCTTGACTAGAATATTGGTGGTACAATACTACAGAGTGGCGTTCATTTTAAGGCGCTGTATATTATTAAGGCTTGAATAGAGCATGTTTTCGTTGTATTCAAAACTATTTCAGCACCTCTGTAGAAAAGTAGTGTTTTCCATTACCCCAAGAGAAAATAGCACTAGAAAAGTTCAAATGAGGGCTGAAAAAAATTTAAGTTTAAAATCTTAGCTATTGCTGATCCCTGATGACGCCGTGAATAGGCGAAAGATTTGATTTTAACCCTCAATTTTAACAGTAGTTTCAGACCTCATTTAAACTTTTGTGTTGTTATTTGGAACAATATCCAAATATTACCCTAGAATATAATTTGACAAAAATTAGAAAGAAAATTAGGGATCGAGCTTCGATCCTTTGTATGCAAAAAGCCAATCACAAGTGTGCCCTTTAACATTTGTGCGTTCATTGCCAAAAGGACTTTTGGCCCCATGCTTGCTCACAGTAACAAAGAAAGTCAATATATAAGACTCGCTTGACTCTCCATATCAGACTCGCTTGACATTTGAAGGAGTTCGAGGATCATCCTGGAGCGGAGACATAGCAATTGATGACGTATCAATAAGGCCAGGAAGTTGTTCGGGTATTCCTCCAAGTCCAGTGCCACCTACACCAGCTCCGCCTTCAGGTTTGCCTGTTACCTTCTCCTAAGACATTGACCTCTTTGTTCACGTCATTGTTTACATTTTTTCTCATTAACATACGACTTTGCACACAGAAGGTACCACACTAAACGAATTGACTACAAACATTTAAAGAGCTTGTGAAACTTGGTAATAGGTTAAAAGTTTGGCTCTTTGGGTGTTATATTCGACGAGAGATTGACTTTCAAAATCTGCCGAATTTCTAGGTGGCAAAAGAGCTAATGAGCTCATACATTCTTTGTAGAACTTTGAGTTTTTAAACTTGCGTCGCACAAAGAGTATTCAATACAGGAAGCTCAAATTCATTGGGAAACTAATCGTGCTGTGCCCTTTTAATACTTAGAACTAATGCTTTTATATCTCCATCAGAGATTGTATTGCTTATGATAATGAGGCATATGTTGTAAACAAACATTCTGCTATATGAGTGTATTGTAATGGAACGTATAATCGACTTTTCAGGTTCCTGTGGCTCTCGACCTAGTATACGCATCGTTGGTGGCACAGAAGCGGCCATAAACAGCTGGCCATGGCAAGTGATGTTGTTGACCAGTTCCGACAGGCAATTCTGTGGAGGTTCACTGATTGATCCATNTATCAATAAGGCCAGGAAGTTGTTCGGGTATTCCTCCAAGTCCAGTGCCACCTACACCAGCTCCGCCTTCAGGTTTGCCTGTTACCTTCTCCTAAGACATTGATGTCTTTGTTTACCTCATTGTTTACATTTTTCCTCATTAACATACGACTTTGCACACAGAAGGTATCACACTAGACGAATTGACTACATATCTCTTACTAACCGACTTCGAGGGCCCTGCTGTAAGTTACGGATCCTTGTTTTCCCCTTCGATTTATGGCCCGCGCGCTTCGCGCTTGGGCCGTAAATCGATGGGGAAAACGAGGATCCGTAACTTACAGTACCGACCGAGAAAACGAGGTTAGTAAGATATTTATTATATCTCTGCTGTGTGTCTGACGGGCTCAGGAACGATTTCTATTCACGCGGAACGGCTTCAAATTTCTGACGCACCTGGAAAGCAAAGCGACTCAATTTGAAATCGTTATTAAGTGACTTTTTAGTCATTAGCCGGTTTTAATACACAATTTCAGAAGTGAAAGAAACTTTTAAACTTTTACTGGCTGAAAAGTTAAGAACACTTGGTGATAAATCACGAAACATTTTGGCAACAAAGACACCTTTAAATTTTAGCGGGCCGTACAGTGGATTACGGCGCGCTAAAGTGACCAATCACAGCGCGCATACTAACTGAGAGATATAATAAAAACCTTTAAAGAGCTTGTGGAACTTGGCAATAGGTTAAAAGTTTGGCTCTTTGGGTGTTATATTCCAGGAGAGATTGGCTTTCAAAATCTGCCGAATTTCTAGGTGGCAAAAGAGCTAATGAGTTCATACATTCTTTGTAGAACTTTGAGTTTTTAAACCCGCTTCGTACAAAAAGTATTGAATACAGGGGGCTCGAATTCATTGGGAAGCTAATCGTGCTGTGCCCTTTTAATACTCAGAACTAATGCGTTTATATCTCCATCAGAGATTGTACTGCTTGTGATAATGAGGCATATGTTGTAAACAAACATTCTGCTATATGAGTGTATTGCAATGGAACGTTTAATCGATAACGATATAGCTCTGCTCAAGCTTTCCAAACCTGCCTCTCTCGGCCGGGGTGTTGGGCTGGTCTGTTTGTCAAACCCAAGTAACACTCTTCCAATCGATAACCCAAACAAGAAGTGCTATATAACAGGATGGGGAACTTTGTCATCTGGTGGCAGTCAACCCAATGTACTTATGCAAGCAACTGTGCCGTTGGTGTCAAAATCACGCTGCTTAAAAGCCTATCCGAACAAAATAGATGACACTATGTTGTGTGCAGGTCTAGACCAAGGGGGAATTGATGCTTGCCAGGGCGACAGTGGCGGACCACTGGTCTGTGAGTTTAAAGGAAAATGGTTTCTAGAGGGAGCCACTAGTTGGGGGTATGGATGTGCTAGACCAAATAAGTACGGTGTCTACGCCAGCGTTAAATTTCTGAGGACTTGGGTGCTTAGCAAAACAGGTTCTATCATACCACCCTCGCCATCTCCACCAGCGACCACACCACCACGGAGCCCACCACCACTGACCCCACCGCTACCAGGTTAGCTATTACTGTTATTATTTCTTATTTAATCAATTGGAAGCCTATCAACCTACTGATTATTTTAAGGCAATATCGCTTAGTTGATCAATATATATTTCTGCGATTATCTTCAGTTCTTACTTACTGGCTAGTTTTGCCCTTCCTAAGTCTCAATTTTCAAGCGATGAAGGAAGAACAACTGTTTACAGAAATGTGCGGAAAATGCACAACAACCAAATACAGAAAAATGTAAGAATAAGTAGCTTCGGTTTGAAGAAAAATAAATTTCGGTCAATCGATCTCTGCTGGCGATCAACGTAACCACAGCGTTTACAATTCTTAAATTCCTTGGATACGAGTTCTTGAAAGGCTTTTTGGTCCAAGGGCGACAGCAGTCATTTTGAAAATTCTCCATTATTTCAAATATACTGGACTTGAACTACTGTCTTCCTGATAAATGAAAAATTCATTCAGCAACTGTCCCCCATGTTTACCTGCCGAGATGGCAAAGGTGGCACCTCAGTAACCTGGCCTCAAAAATGTTATATTCACCGCCTGGCGCAATGAATAAAGCATCATATAAATGATCGCTCAACCAATCAGATTGCTGGAAACTCTTTCTTCAGCTCTGAAATAGTTATACTAAATATTGATATAAGTAAAATAGATGACAAGTCGTTCAAATTTCAGAAAACATAAATGCTGAAGGTGACCGATTGCTTTTATCGTATCTTGTAGTTATTCAATTTAGTAGATTTTATAATCGTAGATTTAACTCTAGATGTCTATATTGAATTAGAATTTTTGCCTCTGAAAATCCCCCTCGGGAAGTGGTAATAGAGTAGCTATGTCACAAACAAAGATTCTCACAATTATCTCCTTGTCGTTTTGTTTTTTCTCGCTTTTTAATAACAATGCAACTCGGCCGCACTGGTAAGGTCTTGCTCTGTTGCAACGCTCATCATTTCACTTCCTCTACAGCATCTGGTTGTGACTTTAACAATGATCAGTTGTGCTCGGGCTGGACACAAGATAAGTCAGACAAGTTCGACTGGACATTGAGATCTGGAGCAACCCCATCTTCCAACACTGGTCCCTCGTCAGGCCACGGGGGTTCAGGTAAATGAAGACTAGCATTCTATTTCTTTGGAGCAGATGGTGCAGTGGTGAGAGCACTGGCCTCCCACCAATGTGGCCCGGGTTCGATTCCGGCCGGGTGCCATAGGTAGCTTCAATTGGTTGTTGGTTCTCGCCTTGCTGCCATCGATTTGTCTGATTCCTCCGACCTCTTTCGGTATAACTGACTAAATGCCCTTAAGCTTTATCTTTAACATCCCTACTCTACGATAATATCACTGAGCGCTGTTCATCCAAACTTCCTTTAAAGCGTTTGATACCATCAAATACAAAGTAACCCAACCAAGAAAACAACAAGTAAATACTACTTTTTGGAAACAGAGGTGAAACCGAACTGCTTCAAAGTAACCCAACCAAGAAAACAACAAGTAAATACTACTTTTTGGAAACCGAGGTGAAACCGAAACCGAAATCAAGGTGAAATCTTTCAAGACACAGCTTCAATTTGATTATGTGTAGAATCGTCAATGAATTAATCAGCCAAAGCCACTTCCATCCTCTCGTGATATGACGGACGCTTTAGTTGTTATAATGTTTATGTTTATGTTAGAAGATTTAACCAGTTCAGGCAAATATTGAAAGGGTACATACAAATTCTGTTTTTCTCGTTCTCGCTATTGTTGTTCAACTTTTTGTTCAAGTTGTTGTTGTTCTACCTGTTGTTGTGGTTGTTGTTGTTGTTGTTGTTGGTTTTGCTGTTGTTATTTTTGATCTGTTGACTTTGCCTGGATCGAGTTCAGCCTCATTTTCCATTTCACCATTCTGAATTTTTCAGTCATCATTTCATGTTGAAAGTTGTTGTTTTTTTTGTACTTATTGTTGTCGAAATTATGAATTAATTTCAGGATTTTACGCGTACATCGAGACCTCGTCTCCAAGGAAATCTGGGGACAACGCCAGGCTTGTTTTCAAGACTTCCACAACCGGGCTGTTCTGCCTGAAGTTCTTTTATCACATGTTTGGGAATTCAGTGGGAACTCTTAACGTCTTCAATGGAAATAAAAATATATTTACCAAGTCAGGTAACCAAGGAGATAAATGGGAAGAAGCCGAAAGTTCTTTCACTTCAAGTGGGGAGGTAAATACACTTGGACGACGTTTTTTAAGTATTAGATGACCAGCGGTTTTGTAGATGATATCTAAATGGGAAATGCCTCAGGCGGACTAACATTTACACAACCGAGAAGTAAAGTTTACTCTTGACTAGAATATTGGTGGTACAATACTACAGAGTGGCGTTCATTTTAAGGCGCTGTATATTATTAAGGCTTGAATAGAGCATGTTTTCGTTGTATTCAAAACTATTTCAGCACCTCTGTAGAAAAGTAGTGTTTTCCATTACCCCAAGAGAAAATAGCACTAGAAAAGTTCAAATGAGGGCTGAAAAAAATTTAAGTTTAAAATCTTAGCTATTGCTGATCCCTGATGACGCCGTGAATAGGCGAAAGATTTGATTTTAACCCTCAATTTTAACAGTAGTTTCAGACCTCATTTAAACTTTTGTGTTGTTATTTGGAACAATATCCAAATATTACCCTAGAATATAATTTGACAAAAATTAGAAAGAAAATTAGGGATCGAGCTTCGATCCTTTGTATGCAAAAAGCCAATCACAAGTGTGCCCTTTAACATTTGTGCGTTCATTGCCAAAAGGACTTTTGGCCCCATGCTTGCTCACAGTAACAAAGAAAGTCAATATATAAGACTCGCTTGACTCTCCATATCAGACTCGCTTGACATTTGAAGGAGTTCGAGGATCATCCTGGAGCGGAGACATAGCAATTGATGACGTATCAATAAGGCCAGGAAGTTGTTCGGGTATTCCTCCAAGTCCAGTGCCACCTACACCAGCTCCGCCTTCAGGTTTGCCTGTTACCTTCTCCTAAGACATTGATGTCTTTGTTTACCTCATTGTTTACATTTTTCCTCATTAACATACGACTTTGCACACAGAAGGTATCACACTAGACGAATTGACTACATATCTCTTACTAACCGACTTCGAGGGCCCTGCTGTAAGTTACGGACCGAGTTTTCCCCTTCGATTTATGGCCCGCGCGCTTCGCGCTTGGGCCGTAAATCGATGGGGAAAACGAGGATCCGTAACTTACAGTACCGACCGAGAAAACGAGGTTAGTAAGATATTTATTATATCTCTGCTGTGTGTCTGACGGGCTCAGGAACGATTTCTATTCACGCGGAACGGCTTCAAATTTCTGACGCACCTGGAAAGCAAAGCGACTCAATTTGAAATCGTTATTAAGTGACTTTTTAGTCATTAGCCGGTTTTAATACACAATTTCAGAAGTGAAAGAAACTTTTAAACTTTTACTGGCTGAAAAGTTAAGAACACTTGGTGATAAATCACGAAACATTTTGGCAACAAAGACACCTTTAAATTTTAGCGGGCCGTACAGTGGATTACGGCCCGCTAAAGTGACCAATCACAGCGCGCATACTAACTGAGAGATATAATAAAAACCTTTAAAGAGCTTGTGGAACTTGGCAATAGGTTAAAAGTTTGGCTCTTTGGGTGTTATATTCCAGGAGAGATTGGCTTTCAAAATCTGCCGAATTTCTAGGTGGTAAAAGAGCTAATGAGTTCATACATTCTTTGTAGAACTTTGAGTTTTTAAACCCGCTTCGTACAAAAAGTATTGAATACAGGGGGCTCGAATTCATTGGGAAGCTAATCGTGCTGTGCCCTTTTAATACTCGGAACTAATGCGTTTATATCTCCATCAGAGATTGTACTGCTTGTGATAATGAGGCATATGTTGTAAACAAACATTCTGCCATATGGGTGTATTGCAATGGAACGTTTAATCGACTTTTCAGGTTCCTGTGGCTCTCGACCTAGTATACGCATCGTTGGTGGCACAGAAGCGGCCATAAACAGCTGGCCATGGCAAGTGATGTTGTTGACCAGTTCCGACAGGCAATTCTGTGGAGGTTCACTGATTGATCCATCCTGGGTTTTGACAGCAGCACACTGTGTCAAAAGTTCATCACCTTCAAGGCTTAAAGTGAGGTGCGTATTGTGTCTTCCTTAATAGATGAAGACTATTCATAAAAGCTCCTGAAGGAACGTTGTAAAATCCCATTTCCAGGCCAAACGTTTGCCCAAGTCCCATTCCACAGCTTAATGTTGGGCCTAAATCCCAGTCCCATTCTCATTTTTTGTTTGTCGTTCCCAAGGTCAAGTCTCAGTGCCATAAAATTTCATTTTCTCATTGAAAAATAAATCCCTCTTCATAGCATGTGAGACATAATCCTTGTGTACAAAAGGAAACGTATGCCCCGAGTACCAAAACACAGAAGACTGCTAAATCTTAAAATAACTGAAGTCTCCAATTTACCTTTAGAACTTTACCATATACAAGTAACCACATGCATAGCTACAAATAATCTACATGTATGCAAATAGACCGGATAAGGAGCACAAATACAATCTTTCATTTTACACGGTTACACTGTTTTCAATTGGGCTCATGTCTGACATATATCTCATTCTGTTGATGGTATATTTTGGGCACGCTTCTAGTGGTGCGAGTTATTCGCCTAACATAGTAGGTGATAAAGAAATAATAGAAAACAGTCAAAAAATTGCGATCACTTTAGTACCAGGTATGGTTTGGGGGATCGTTCACGTACACAACTTATCCCTCGAGGAAATGATTCTAAATATAGCAACAGTTTAGACATCTGCATTTACTGTTTGAGTAAGATGTTTTATACATCTACAGATGATATTTGCAAATTTCTATTTCAATTAAATCTAGATTGGGAGCTCATTACAGAGAAAGTGGCTCTGTCGGTACAGAGCAGGACATTAACGTGGCACAAATCATTTCGCATGAAAACTACCAAACGCCAATGACCTTCAGCAACGATATAGCTCTGCTCAAGCTTTCCAAACCTGCCTCTCTCGGCCGGGGTGTTGGGCTGGTCTGTTTGTCAAACCCAAGTAACACTCTTCCAATCGATAACCCAAACAAGAAGTGCTATATAACAGGATGGGGAACTTTGTCATCTGGTGGCAGTCAACCCAATGTACTTATGCAAGCAACTGTGCCGTTGGTGTCAAAATCACGCTGCTTAAAAGCCTATCCGAACAAAATAGATGACACTATGTTGTGTGCAGGTCTAGACCAAGGGGGAATTGATGCTTGCCAGGGCGACAGTGGCGGACCACTGGTCTGTGAGTTTAAAGGAAAATGGTTTCTAGAGGGAGCCACTAGTTGGGGGTATGGATGTGCTAGACCAAATAAGTACGGTGTCTACGCCAGCGTTAAATTTCTGAGGACTTGGGTGCTTAGCAAAACAGGTTCTATCATACCACCCTCGCCATCTCCACCAGCGACCACACCACCACGGAGCCCACCACCACTGACCCCACCGCTACCAGGTTAGCTATTACTGTTATTATTTCTTATTTAATCAATTGGAAGCCTATCAACCTACTGATTATTTTAAGGCAATATCGCTTAGTTGATCAATATATATTTCTGCGATTATCTTCAGTTCTTACTTACTGGCTAGTTTTGCCCTTCCTAAGTCTCAATTTTCAAGCGATGAAGGAAGAACAACTGTTTACAGAAATGTGCGGAAAATGCACAACAACCAAATACAGAAAAATGTAAGAATAAGTAGCTTCGGTTTGAAGAAAAATAAATTTCGGTCAATCGATCTCTGCTGGCGATCAACGTAACCACTGCGTTTACAATTCTTAAATTCCTTGGATACGAGTTCTTGAAAGGCTTTTTGGTCCAAGGGCGACAGCAGTCATTTTGAAAATTCTCCATTATTTCAAATATACTGGACTTGAACTACTGTCTTCCGGATAAATGAAAAATTCATTCAGCAACTGTCCCCCATGTTTACCTGCCGAGATGGCAAAGGTGGCACCTCAGTAACCTGGCCTCAAAAATGTTATATTCACCGCCTGGCGCAATGAATAAAGCATCATATAAATGATCGCTCAACCAATCAGATTGCTGGAAACTCTTTCTTCAGCTCTGAAATAGTTATACTAAATATTGATATAAGTAAAATAGATGACAAGTCGTTCAAATTTCAGAAAACATAAATGCTGAAGGTGACCGATTGCTTTTATCGTATCTTGTAGTTATTCAATTTAGTAGATTTTATAATCGTAGATTTAACTCTAGATGTCTATATTGAATTAGAATTTTTGCCTCTGAAAATCCCCCTCGGAAAGTGGTAATAGAGTAGCTATGTCACAAACAAAGATTCTCACAATTATCTCCTTGTCGTTTTGTTTTTTCTCGCTTTTTAATAACAATGCAACTCGGCCGCACTGGTAAGGTCTTGCTCTGTTGCAACGCTCATCATTTCACTTCCTCTACAGCATCTGGTTGTGACTTTAACAATGATCAGTTGTGCTCGGGCTGGACACAAGATAAGTCAGACAAGTTCGACTGGACATTGAGATCTGGAGCAACCCCATCTTCCAACACTGGTCCCTCGTCAGGCCACGGGGGTTCAGGTAAATGAAGACTAGCATTCTATTTCTTTGGAGCAGATGGTGCAGTGGTGAGAGCACTGGCCTCCCACCAATGTGGCCCGGGTTCGATTCCGGCCGGGTGCCATAGGTAGCTTCAATTGGTTGTTGGTTCTCGCCTTGCTGCCATCGATTTGTCTGATTCCTCCGACCTCTTTCGGTATAACTGACTAAATGCCCTTAAGCTTTATCTTTAACATCCCTACTCTACGATAATATCACTGAGCGCTGTTCATCCAAACTTCCTTTAAAGCGTTTGATACCATCAAATACAAAGTAACCCAACCAAGAAAACAACAAGTAAATACTACTTTTTGGAAACAGAGGTGAAACCGAACTGCTTCAAAGTAACCCAACCAAGAAAACAACAAGTAAATACTACTTTTTGGAAACCGAGGTGAAACCGAAACCGAAATCAAGGTGAAATCTTTCAAGACACAGCTTCAATTTGATTATGTGTAGAATCGTCAATGAATTAATCAGCCAAAGCCACTTCCATCCTCTCGTGATATGACGGACGCTTTAGTTGTTATAATGTTTATGTTTATGTTAGAAGATTTAACCAGTTCAGGCAAATATTGAAAGGGTACATACAAATTCTGTTTTTCTCGTTCTCGCTATTGTTGTTCAACTTTTTGTTCAAGTTGTTGTTGTTCTACCTGTTGTTGTGGTTGTTGTTGTTGTTGTTGTTGGTTTTGCTGTTGTTATTTTTGATCTGTTGACTTTGCCTGGATCGAGTTCAGCCTCATTTTCCATTTCACCATTCTGAATTTTTCAGTCATCATTTCATGTTGAAAGTTGTTGTTTTTTTTGTACTTATTGTTGTCGAAATTATGAATTAATTTCAGGATTTTACGCGTACATCGAGACCTCGTCTCCAAGGAAATCTGGGGACAACGCCAGGCTTGTTTTCAAGACTTCCACAACCGGGCTGTTCTGCCTGAAGTTCTTTTATCACATGTTTGGGAATTCAGTGGGAACTCTTAACGTCTTCAATGGAAATAAAAATATATTTACCAAGTCAGGTAACCAAGGAGATAAATGGGAAGAAGCCGAAAGTTCTTTCACTTCAAGTGGGGAGGTAAATACACTTGGACGACGTTTTTTAAGTATTAGATGACCAGCGGTTTTGTAGATGATATCTAAATGGGAAATGCCTCAGGCGGACTAACATTTACACAACCGAGAAGTAAAGTTTACTCTTGACTAGAATATTGGTGGTACAATACTACAGAGTGGCGTTCATTTTAAGGCGCTGTATATTATTAAGGCTTGAATAGAGCATGTTTTCGTTGTATTCAAAACTATTTCAGCACCTCTGTAGAAAAGTAGTGTTTTCCATTACCCCAAGAGAAAATAGCACTAGAAAAGTTCAAATGAGGGCTGAAAAAAATTTAAGTTTAAAATCTTAGCTATTGCTGATCCCTGATGACGCCGTGAATAGGCGAAAGATTTGATTTTAACCCTCAATTTTAACAGTAGTTTCAGACCTCATTTAAACTTTTGTGTTGTTATTTGGAACAATATCCAAATATTACCCTAGAATATAATTTGACAAAAATTAGAAAGAAAATTAGGGATCGAGCTTCGATCCTTTGTATGCAAAAAGCCAATCACAAGTGTGCCCTTTAACATTTGTGCGTTCATTGCCAAAAGGACTTTTGGCCCCATGCTTGCTCACAGTAACAAAGAAAGTCAATATATAAGACTCGCTTGACTCTCCATATCAGACTCGCTTGACATTTGAAGGAGTTCGAGGATCATCCTGGAGCGGAGACATAGCAATTGATGACGTATCAATAAGGCCAGGAAGTTGTTCGGGTATTCCTCCAAGTCCAGTGCCACCTACACCAGCTCCGCCTTCAGGTTTGCCTGTTACCTTCTCCTAAGACATTGATGTCTTTGTTTACCTCATTGTTTACATTTTTCCTCATTAACATACGACTTTGCACACAGAAGGTATCACACTAGACGAATTGACTACATATCTCTTACTAACCGACTTCGAGGGCCCTGCTGTAAGTTACGGACCGAGTTTTCCCCTTCGATTTATGGCCCGCGCGCTTCGCGCTTGGGCCGTAAATCGATGGGGAAAACGAGGATCCGTAACTTACAGTACCGACCGAGAAAACGAGGTTAGTAAGATATTTATTATATCTCTGCTGTGTGTCTGACGGGCTCAGGAACGATTTCTATTCACGCGGAACGGCTTCAAATTTCTGACGCACCTGGAAAGCAAAGCGACTCAATTTGAAATCGTTATTAAGTGACTTTTTAGTCATTAGCCGGTTTTAATACACAATTTCAGAAGTGAAAGAAACTTTTAAACTTTTACTGGCTGAAAAGTTAAGAACACTTGGTGATAAATCACGAAACATTTTGGCAACAAAGACACCTTTAAATTTTAGCGGGCCGTACAGTGGATTACGGCCCGCTAAAGTGACCAATCACAGCGCGCATACTAACTGAGAGATATAATAAAAACCTTTAAAGAGCTTGTGGAACTTGGCAATAGGTTAAAAGTTTGGCTCTTTGGGTGTTATATTCCAGGAGAGATTGGCTTTCAAAATCTGCCGAATTTCTAGGTGGTAAAAGAGCTAATGAGTTCATACATTCTTTGTAGAACTTTGAGTTTTTAAACCCGCTTCGTACAAAAAGTATTGAATACAGGGGGCTCGAATTCATTGGGAAGCTAATCGTGCTGTGCCCTTTTAATACTCGGAACTAATGCGTTTATATCTCCATCAGAGATTGTACTGCTTGTGATAATGAGGCATATGTTGTAAACAAACATTCTGCCATATGGGTGTATTGCAATGGAACGTTTAATCGACTTTTCAGGTTCCTGTGGCTCTCGACCTAGTATACGCATCGTTGGTGGCACAGAAGCGGCCATAAACAGCTGGCCATGGCAAGTGATGTTGTTGACCAGTTCCGACAGGCAATTCTGTGGAGGTTCACTGATTGATCCATCCTGGGTTTTGACAGCAGCACACTGTGTCAAAAGTTCATCACCTTCAAGGCTTAAAGTGAGGTGCGTATTGTGTCTTCCTTAATAGATGAAGACTATTCATAAAAGCTCCTGAAGGAACGTTGTAAAATCCCATTTCCAGGCCAAACGTTTGCCCAAGTCCCATTCCACAGCTTAATGTTGGGCCTAAATCCCAGTCCCATTCTCATTTTTTGTTTGTCGTTCCCAGGGTCAAGTCTCAGTGCCATAAAATTTCATTTTCTCATTGAAAAATAGATCTCTCTTTATAGCATGTGAAACATACTCTTTGTCCACAGAAACGAAACGTATGCCCCGAGTACCAAAACACAGCAGACTGCTAAATCTTAAAATAACTGAAGTCTCCAATTTACCTTTAGAACTTTACGATATACAATTGCAAGTAACCACATGCATAGCTACAAATAATCTACATGTATGCAAATAAAAAAAAAACAGTAAAAACATTGCGGTCACTATAGTACCAGAATATGGTTAGGGGGATCGTTCAAGTACACAAATGAACATTGTCCACTTATCCCTCGAGGAAATGATTCTAAATATAGCAACAGTTTAGACATCTGCATTTACTGTTTGAGTAAGATGTTATACATCTACAGATAATATTTGCAAATTTCTATTTCAATTAAATCTAGATTGGGAGCTCATTACAGAGTAAATGGCTCTGTCGGTACAGAGCAGGACATTAACGTGGCACAAATCATTTCGCATGAAAACTACCAAACGCCAATGACCTTCAGCAACGATATAGCTCTGCTCAAGCTTTCCAAACCTGCCTCTCTCGGCCGGGGTGTTGGGCTGGTCTGTTTGTCAAACCCAAGTAACACTCTTCCAATCGATAACCCAAACAAGAAGTGCTATATAACAGGATGGGGAACTTTGTCATCTGGTGGCAGTCAACCCAATGTACTTATGCAAGCAACTGTGCCGTTGGTGTCAAAATCACGCTGCTTAAAAGCCTATCCGAACAAAATAGATGACACTATGTTGTGTGCAGGTCTAGACCAAGGGGGAATTGATGCTTGCCAGGGCGACAGTGGCGGACCACTGGTCTGTGAGTTTAAAGGAAAATGGTTTCTAGAGGGAGCCACTAGTTGGGGGTATGGATGTGCTAGACCAAATAAGTACGGTGTCTACGCCAGCGTTAAATTTCTGAGGACTTGGGTGCTTAGCAAAACAGGTTCTATCAAACCATCCTCGCCATCTCCACCAGCGACCACACCACCAATGACCCCACCACCACCAGGTTAGCTATTGTTATTTCTTATTCGATCAGTTTGTAGCCTCTCAACCTGCTGATTATTTTTTAGAACTCCCGATGACCCGAGGTAAATTTTTGCTGACATCTCATACCATACAATTGACACAGACAACGCTGACTTGTTTTGGTGAAATGATTTTACTGACTGATAATAATAATAATCATCATCATCTATCCTCAGGTTGCCAGGATAACACTGCGTATGCTGATATTTGCCCGGACATTGCCTCGTGTGGAAACTACTGCAACGATCACAAAGTCTGGGCTCAGAAAAATTGTCCGAAGTCCTGTAACATGTGCTCAGGTAAGTCATTTACTTCATTAAACCCATTCATTAGGTTTTTAAGCTCATCTTTGTTTGAATTGGTCATCGTGCTATATCGCTCCGTAAGTTTCTTAGGAGATCAATAAGCAAATCCAATCCAGACACTATTACTTTCCAATCGACAAAAAAAAAGACCCTTCAAAGACAATTTCATACTCGGGGTGACATGACTCGACTGTTTTTGGAATTGTTGCACGCAATTGACATCTTCAAGATATAATTTAGTGTACTGATTTTACATAGACCCATGACTAATTGTATAGATGATAAAAAATAAATTGAGCTTCTGTCGTATTAAGCTGGAAAAGTAGCTATGATTTAAACACAGGTCCCCCGCCTCCAGCCTCTTGTGGCAAGTCTCCTAAGTCACGTGTTATTGGAGGAGTGGATGCTAAGCCAGGAGATTGGCCTTGGCAGGCAAGTATAAATTTTCATATCTAGAAAATAATGTACGCTTTCTTAGTCGATTCGGTGGAGGATAACTTAGCATAAAGCGGACACTTCCTTTCAACGTTATGGGAGAGCTGTAAAATTAACTGACGCTCTCAACATAAATTGAAACCTTGAAATCGAATGCACGTCAAAGATGTATCAATTCCGCTTCCCCGTCGAATTAGTGGTCGCCTGTGTGATTTTCAGAAAGAACTAGGTGCTCCTTCCTCGTCGTATTTTGTCTAAAACTTTGATTTCGTCTACGATCTGTGCCAATCTACAATTCTATATGTATTTTTGTTCAATGGGTCGTTAAACACGGGAGCTGCGATCAAAATACAGTTATATAAAATGCTATATTTTTTTCTTCCTTTTCCATGGATAGATCGCTCTGCTAAGAGGAAGCTCGAAATCGTTCAGTTGTGGTGGATCTTTGATCGCTCCTGATTGGGTAGTCACTGCAGCTCATTGTATATCAACCTTGTAAGTAAAATAATATTTTTTGCCCGTGAGTAAATTTTCAGCAAGCCAGATGTTTTTTAAGGGCTCTTTATGAAAGTATTATTGCGAACAGACTTGTTCTATTCACCTACAACGCTAATGCAAGCACCTTGTTATCCTTTCTCATTTACAATCGTTCAACTGAATTCTGTGCCCGCTCTTATTTGTTTAAAAGTCTGGTTTCATGCGAGTTTTCTGCCCGCCCTTATTGACTAAAATTTCAATTTTTTGGTCAGTCTTAAGCATAATGACAGTGTTTTATTCTTTTTCGCGTATAAAGCGTACGAAAAGTGTGAAACCATGCATTATACTATAAGTCGTTCCGTAATTTTCAGAGCACTTGAAAAATTTGCAAAACACCCTTGCCATGATTGCTAAGCCAATGAAAACTCTTGAATTGTATTATCTAATGAACCAGGTTTTATAAAGTGTAAATATTACACCAATACAGTTAGTCTCTGCCCTAATATGGTCAAAGATTAAACAACAGAAAGCCCCTTAGTATGATAAACTTCTGACGTTTCCTTTAAAGATTTCTTTTTACACAGTAAGTTTTGATTGTGTAGTATTGTATAAGATATCTAATCAAATGACTCTGTTAATTTTCTGCTCAACCATTCGATTAAGAATAACATTTGAAAGAGGTGATGTATTATTCTCAACAGAACCGCGAGTTATTATACTATCCGCCTGGGTGATCACAACCGACTTGTGGGCGAGGGAACTGAACAAGATATCCAAGCCAAGCGAATTATAAAACATGAGAATTATAGTCCAAACACCATCAATAATGACATAGCGCTGATACAGTTATCCAAACCAGCCACCTTAAACGCTCGAGTTGGAACTGTGTGCCTTCCTAAACAAAACGAAATGGTTCCTATTTCTTCCAGATGCTTCATTACAGGTAAAAAACTTTGTACCCCAGAGAAGATCTAGGATCTTCTAATCTCTTGTAATCTCAACTTTCATACTCTCTTACCAAAGATAAAAAGCACTGGAATATATGTCGTATATAACATGACTTTAAAGTGACTTTAAGGTGCATTCACGACCAAACTTCTTATTACCGGCAATTTTGATTTGGTTTGCAGTCGGAACAATATATATATTGGCTGGATTCAGGGACAGACCATTACAGAAGTGATTGGGGAATGGGACTTTTTCAGCTTGCGGGAATATTTTTTTTCGGGGGCGAGTCCCCTGCTCGATTTTTTTTTCCGAGCTGGGGACGAGGGAGCGGGATGGGGGGTTATTATACTACCGCAATCTTAATCTGAATACCTGGAACAGGCTTCAACTTCAAACAAATATTTTTTAACTCTCCCACAATCGTTTTGCTTTACTATCAAAATTATACTCTAGTGGGAAACATAACCAAGTATCAGACACATCCAAGTGCTATTGCCTAAAATGGGGCTGCGTGACATTTTTGGTTTGATGTTTAGGGAAATATCAATTTTATTGATTCATTACCCTTGTAATAAAATGCATTATTGGCATGCAGTGAATCAAGGCTTTATCTAGGACTCTTTGAGTGGCCGTCCAGTGACAAATTGGCAAGAGTACCCGCTCTCATAAGCATGCAATTCTATTTGTCGTTATACTGTATAGCTGTTATTGTTTTAGGGCTAGGTGCATTGTTTCTGTTTTGTTTGTTTGTTTGTTTGTTTTTCTATTGTTTCAGTTGTTTGCTTTTTACGAGACATTACGACAGCTGCTGCATCACCCAACAAATATGTCGGCCAAGAGCCTATTCCGCTAAGCGCCTGTAGGCATGCTAGACATATGTCACAGATAGGGCGGAGAACCAATGACGATCGAAAATTTTGTCATAGATACGATTACAACTGTAACAGTACACTGTGATTTGACAACAAATCAATATTTTCCAGGTTGGGGAAAGATTAAACATCCAGGAGGTTCGCATGACATTCTTCAACAAGCTCAGATGCCACCCGTTACAAAGGCAGCCTGTCAGAAAAAATTGGCATCGTCCCCGGGTAAGTTGTACGTATTGTAACGGCAAATTATTCAAAAGCTCTCGGAAAAAAGCAACAACGTGACAACGATAGCAAGACGTAATGATATTACTCTTGGAATGACTTTCACGTCGACTATGGGGCAAAAAGTTAAAATACTTGTTTGCTCTGACTGACTAGTGCCATTTGCTTGAACACACATGAATAAATGCAAGTCGACCTTTCAGATAAGAAATGAAATTTTGAGTCAGCTATGACTATTAAAATACAAGGATACTTCGAAATCCATTTTGTTTATGATTTGATTGTCTATCCTATTTAATTCTGATTTGAAAACTAACCATTGGAAATACAAGGCTACTTGGAAATCCATTTTGTTTAGGATTTGTTTGTCTATCCTATTTACCTCCGTTAATAACTTTTTTTATCCCCTCCGTCAAATAACTTGATTAATAGCTGGATCCAGCCTTAAAATCACCGACAACATGCTGTGCGCTGGCGTCAGCGGAACTAATCTTAGTGGTTGTCATGGAGATAGCGGAGGTCCATACGTATGCCAGACTGCCGGAGGGAACTGGGTACTACAAGGCGCTGTTAGCTGGGGTTCTTCGCGATGTTCTGCAGCAGAGCTGTACACGGTCTTTGCTCGTGTTGCCAAGTTCAGAAACTGGATCGATCAGAAGATGAAGTCTTGAAGAAACATTCTTGTAGAATGTGATGTTATACATGGGGAAATTAAAGGAATCTTATCATTAAAACTCGTGGAGTCTCGTTTATTTCATTTCTTTCGTTTCTCGTTTCTTTCGTTTTTTTCTTTCTCGGTGGATGCAATATCGAGATCGCGGAGGATTGTACGAAGGTTTTTAAACCCTCAATACACCCAAAAATTACGATCGCTAAAACTATCTAACTACCCATCCAACTTAGGCGACAATATTTCAGAGTTCCTTGGAGAACAGAGGTTGATTTGAAAAATTGAACAAAGACTTCACTGAAAAGGATACATGGTCATCAGTCAGAAGGCGTTATTTTTTGTGTAGACATCCCAACGTTTTTTGTCTCTCATATTTTTTAGGAGAGACTTTTCAGCAATTCTTGTACCGCTACCTATATGCAGCAACTCCATTTTTATATTTAAATGTTTTTGATTGCTATACCAGTTCATGTTTTGTGACTCGCGTAGCTTTGCCACTTAATTGTTTTCTCGGCATGTTATGAAATACCCTTGAAACATTTGCGTTTCAAAATTACCAAAATGTACCAAAACAACTCGATTTCAAACTCATTCATTTACAACATTTTTTTGTATAAGTGAAAGGTGGTAGGTCAGAAAAAGTACAAAATAATATCTCTAAACAGAAATTTGAAAGGAATGACCGAAATAACAGCGAAAAGTAACTGCCTCGCCCCAATCGTCCACTTCTTAAAAATGTATTAACAATTAACCCAGCTCGTTCTGATCTTAACCTCCTACGCGGACTCTTGCAAAGCTCCTGTACGGCTTTCTTCAAGACTTTCACGGTCAATTGATTTCGGTGACGTATTTCGCCCCGGAGCACGTAACCCGAAAACGATTGGCCGCGGCGAAATATTGAGGCCTGGGCAACGCAGACGCCTACCGTGTACTACTTTTTCTTTCAAACTCTTCAGCCGAAATTATTTATACAAACATCGCAAGAGAATCTTGTTGCTGCTATCAGCCACGCAAAAGCACAGTGTAATCGTGATAGAGTGACACTGCATGCTTTCTGGATTACTCTGTTTTACATCTCTCCATGTTGTTTCACGTGCAATTTAATCAAAAAATGCGAAAATATTGTAATTTCAATTAATCTCGACTTCCCGAAAATCGCAAAAAAAAAATTAGTACCAACAACAAAAACCAGTTCTTTACAATCACAACATTTAGTTCCCGAAAAATACAAAAAATCGCCGATTTGCAAAAATAAACTCCCTCAAAAATTTAGTGCCACACGGTAGGCCGAAGTTCTCGTGGTTCGCGACGCTTTTCAAGGGAGGCTCTGATGCGACACTCGCTTTTATCCTCGATCGTGCTCCAAGCTCAGCTCTCTTTTTTTCGCCAAGAAAGAACTTGGGAACCAAATAATCAGACCTGGGATCCTTTAGCTTGAGATCGCAGCGCTTTACTCGGCGGTGATGTCCACAGGACGTCGAGTAACTTACAACCAGCTTACAACATGCCATTTTAGGTATGGTACTCCCTACCAGTAATCGGAGGTTTCTGTGGACCAACTTTCGAGCGAATTGGATGTGTTGTGTTGTTTTTATTATGATTATAATCTAGCTATTTCAATTGCAGTAAATTTTGTAAGTGATGGGGCTTGAACACAATTTGCATGTTAAAGTCCCTATATGAACAAATTCTCGATATACAATTAGTGTAGAAAATTGCACGAATACAAGAACTAAAGTTTATTGCTTGTTTTTTTTTTTGCCATGATTGACACAACTAGTTAGGGTGCGAAGCATGCAAGCTACTTTTGGAGATACACTAAGGAAGGGGTGGGTGTACCAGAGCAGCGTGTCCCTCTTTGCCAGTGCTGCCTTGGCACGGAAAAAATGATTGCTCAGAAGACACATGATTTGATTGGCTAGACTGAAAGACAAATATTATAAACAGAAAACCTCACCGAAAAGTTACAAAAACTGAAATCAAAATTCTTGTTAATCCTGGGTTAGCTTAATCGAGCTTTGAACAACCCGGCCCAGAAGTTTAATTTTAGAACTGGTCTATGAAAGAAATTTTTGGTAGAATCCTTCACTACTGAACACATTAATTTTATAGAATTCTACCCCTGTTGAAATCCCCTTTGTTAAAATCTGTTAAGATCTGAAAAGGTGCTGTAATTGCACAATGTTGGTTAAAATTCAACCAGTGGAAAACAGCGTTAAATTACGGCTGAAAATATACAATTGAGTTGTAAAGAAACAATGAACTCGAGTTCATTATTTTTGTTAATAAGAAATAGAGATGAAGATATATATTTGACATATTTGTGTATTTT